CACTGAAAATGTTCACATCATCACAGCTACATCATTCTCCTGTTCTTTGCCCTGGTAAGAAGTTGTCCTTTACTTTTTTTTCAAACCCTGTTTTTTAGGAATAGTCAAGTCACCCCATCTCCTTTGAGTCCACTTTTGCTTTTGCTTTTTTCCAATGTAGCAATACTTATTATCTTTACCACTCACCACTCTATTTTTAGATATATAGTATCTTGTATTATACATAAAAATGTCCTGTTGGTATACCTTCTCTTCTCTGTATATTGTAAACTTCTGCAGAACAAGAATAATAGCTTTGATTTTTTTAGTCACTCTTCAAGGATATTTTCATTGAACTCGTAATATACTCAGATTAACATATGGGCTGCGTGTGGTGGCTTACGTTTGTAATCCCAGCAATTTGGGAGGCCAAGGCAGGTGGATTACATAAAGTCAGGAGTTCAAGACCAGGCTGGCCAACATGGTGAGACCCTGTCTCTACTAAAAATAGATAAATACATAAAAATTAGCTGGGCATGGTTGGGCATGCCTATAATCCCAGCTACTCAGGAGGTTGAGGCAGGTGAATCACTTGAACCTGGGAGGCGGAGGTTGCAGTGAGCTGAGATCTTGCCACTGCACTCCAGCCTGGGCAACAGAGCGAGACTCTGTTTCAAAAAAATAAAAAAGAAAAACAGATTAACAGATGATAAGGAATGGTTTATATTTGCCACAAGATTAATAGAACAAGGATTGGTAGGTCATTAGAAGTGAGATACTAAAATGCTGTTAGACTACTGATACTCTGATTTGTAGGGGTAAAGAATTCAGATTGTAAGGGCTTTGGGGAAGGTTCCCCTCTGGAGAAGAATGACCTGCATATTATTATGAATTAGTGATTCTTCTATTTTAATAAAGCACCCCTTTAAAATATAGATACCTTAATTAGGAACAAATCCTTATATACCAGTATTGTTTCCTTGTGAATATAAATGAAGTGTAAAAAGGCATAGAAATCATAAGGGTAAGAGAGACACTTATTTTTCACCGATACCTTTTGAATTTGTTTTTTAAGTATTTACATTTTTACCTGTTCAAATCTAACAAGCTGGAACTGTTCACATCTAACAAGTTGGGAATGTTTAACCCATCCAAATCTTAACATCTTGGATGGGAAAGTTATCAAACATTCCCGCCAGTGTAAAAGTCTTCAACATATGTTTAATTGCTTTTATTTTTAAAGTAATCTTTATTGGAATGTAATTTACTTACAGTATAATTCACCAGTTTTAAGTGTATAATTTGATGAATTTTGGCAGATGTATACAATTGTGTTCTATCATTACAATCAAGTATGGATCATTTGCATCACCGCCGAAAGTTTGTTACTGCCCCTTTGTAGTCAATCGTTTGCCCCATCTCTTTGCTTCTGGCAGCCACAGATCTGCTTTATTATTATTACAGTTTTGCTGTTTCTAGAACTTTATATACATGGAATATGCTATGTAGTTTTTGTACATAGTTTTGGCCTCTTTGAGATTTTACCTGAGCATGCATCAGTAGTTTGTTCCTTTTATTGCTGAGCAGTAGTTCACTGTGCGGCTATACCACAATTTGTTTATTCTGTTTACTATTTGGTGGAATTTTTCTTTTTCAGGGTTTAGCTATTATGAATAAGGCAGTTATGCAGACACAGTGTTATGCAGTATAAGTGGTTTTACGGACATATGTTCTTATTTTACTAGGATAAATATGTACAAGGCAATTGCTGAGTCATATGATAAGGGTGTGTTTTAATTTTTATAAGTAACGGCTAAATTGTTTTCCAAAGTGGCCGTACCATTTTGCATTCCTACCAGTTGCTCTACATCTTTGTCAAAACTTGGTATTAGCAGTACTTTTTATTTTAGCTATCATTCTACTGAAGGTGTAATGTTAACTCATTATAGTTACATTACTTTGTATTTCCCTAAAATGATTTATTTTTTAAGCATTTTTTCCATGCATTTTTGGTTATTTGCATGTATTCTTATATAAAGTATCCAAACCATTTTCCTATTTTTTAGTTTCATTTTTATTTATGTAGGCAGGAGTGCAGTGTCGTGATCACAGCTCACTGCAGCCTTGACTTCCCAGGCCCAAACAATCCTCTCACCTCATCCTCCTGAATAGCTGGAACCATAGGCATGTACCTCTATGCTCGGCTAATTTTCTAACTTTTGTAGATACTGGGGACTCCCCATGTTGCCCAAGCTGGTCTTGAACTCCTAGGCTCAAGCAATCCTCCTGCCTTGGCCTACCAAAGTGTTGGGATTATAAGCATGAGCTCCATTGCCTAGCCCCTATTTTTAAAAAAACAGTTTTTTGTCTCCTTCTTATTGAGTTCTGCATATGTATTTATATATTCTGAATTCAGGTTCTTTATCAGAAATATGTTTTCCAAATTTTTTTTTCCAAGTCTGTGTGCTTGTGCTTTCATTTTCGTAAGTGTGCCTTTTCAAAGAATAAGTCCTTAGTTTTGATGAAACCCAATTTATTGATTTTTTGTCTTTGTGCTTTTTGTGGAGTGTTAAAGATTATTATCTAACTGAATATCATTTAGATTGCCTTTTGTATTCTTCTAATAGCTTATAATCTCATTTCTGGGTTTCTGATACATTCTGAGTTAATTATTGTATGATATGAGGTATCTTATCTTTCCAAATGGGTATATGATTGTTTCAGATCCATTTGTTGAAAAAAACAATAACTTTCCATTTAATTACCTTAGCGTTTTCATTGAAAAATCAATTAACCATATATATGTGTGTTTAATTACTAACCTTTATTATAAAGGTAGTAATTAAAATAATGGAATGGAAATAAATATGTTCCTTATTATTGTAAGGAAATAATAGTATTTTTTATATAATAAAAATTATATAAAATATAAGTCTTAACTGTAAGATATAAAGGTAAAATAAGGAAAATTATATTAATTATATTAATATAGTAATAAGGAAAATATTTTTTTCTTATTATTATAAGGAATATCTGTAGCTTTATAGTCTTACAGATAAGAAATATATAAGTCCTCCCATTCTCTTGTGTTTCAAAATTGTTTTGGCTACTTTATGTTCTCTACGTTTTCATATAAATTTTTAAAAGCCTACTGGGATTTTGATTGGAGTTGCATTGACTCTTTAGATCTGTTTCAAGAAAATTAATATATTAAACAATATTGGATGTTATGATCCAAGTACATGATATCTCTCTTTCTTTACGTAGTTCTTTAATTTCTCTTACCAATGTCTTGTAGTTTTAAAGTGCATAATTCTTGCATATATTTTTTGTTAAGTTTATTCTCATTATGTATTTAATACTATTTTAAACGATATCACATGCTCTTGTAATGCTAGCAATGCAATATTAGCAATGCTAGTATTGAAATACAATATGACTAGTTTTGAAGTATGATTCACTCTTTATATTTTGACATTGTAACATTGTAATGTTACCAAATGCACTATTACTAATAGCTTTATTTTTTTTATTTTTGGCAAGCTCTTAAAAATTTTCTGCATAGACAGTCATGTCTGCAAATAAAGTCAGTTTTTACTACTTCTTTTCTAATATGTGTGCCTTTGATTAATCTTTCTTGCCTTACTGCATTGATTAGGACCTACAGTGTTAAGTAAGAATAAGAGGATATCTTTGCCCTCTTATATTAGAAAGAAAATATTCACTCCTTCCCTAGTAAGTATGATGTTAGCTGTAGTTTCTTTCTGGCTGCCTTTTATTAGGCTGGGGAAATTCTCTTCAACTCCCAGTTTGCTGAGGGTTATTTTTGAGTGAATGTTACATCGAGATTATTTTATGCTTTTTATATTAATCTGTTAATCTGGTAAAATACTCTGATTGATATTTTTATGATAAAGTAACCTTGAATTTTGAGATAAATCCCATTTTATCATTATCTGTTTTTATGTATGTTTCTGGGTTTGATAGGATTTGGTTACTGATATTTTGTCATTTGTCTTCCTAAGGGAGATTGCACTGTAGTTACCTTTTCTTGTTTGTCATTTTTTTCTTTTTTAAATCAGGGTAACACTGGTCTCATAAAATGAGTTGGGGACTGTTACCCCTTTTATTTTCAGGAAGAGTAAACCCCAGCTTATGAGTTGGAAAATACAAAAGTTCACTTGTGCAACTCAAACAACTTATTTCTTGTGACTGAAGTAAGAAATATTTTAATATGCATTAAATGGTATGTTCTCCCTTTCAGATATTTTCCAATGATTATGGGTATGTAAAAACAAAATAGCTTATGCTTATGTAGGCATTTGTAAAAATTGTTATGCAAATTAAAATTTAATATCTTTGGATGTTAATTTAGTATCAATAAACCATAGGTATGGTATATGAAAATATATTCAGAGATGTTAGTACTTATGATTTTGTTTTTGTTCATATAAACATTTTGTGAAATCTCTTGTATATTCTCATTAAGTCATACTTTGTTTATATTTCAACTTAACAGACTTGTCATGGTAATTGTTATGTTACATCAAATTTAAAAAATCCTTTTTCTGGCACAATATTATTCTACTAACAGTTCTTTGTGGCAAGAAACTATTCCTTGAACATCCAATATAGTTCTTAAATTGTATCCCATTTAGATGAGAAAACTGATAGATGTATTTAGATTGCTTAGTCACTGATTTGACCTCATTGCATGATTTTTTTTACATGGTGGTGTTAAAACTGTTTTATTTTCATCCAGAGCACATTCTGTGAACTTTAGGATCAGGATGACAAATACCATCTACCATCTAACATGGTATCTGTTAAAATTGTTTTGACGGATTGGGAAGCTGGATTAAATGAATAAAAATGGTGAACTTTATTGAGTGATAAACATGACACTCAATTTATGTTTTTATGTGATGAAAGTAGTTTGTTGCTGTCTTAAGAGCTTTATAAACGTTTGCTACATATATTTTGTCTATCTAATTTAAATAAATATATTAAATAAATTTTTTAAATATTAATGAAGATAAATAAATAGAATCTCAGCAATGGATATTAAAAATGTACTAAGAATTGTCAGATTTTATAAATTATGATAATTTGTCATAAGAAAAATAATCTGTGAGAACATTAAATACAGTAGAGTACAAATACAGGATAAGTACTGAGTGGCGTTTATAGTTTTCTGTTGCACATGTAATGAAAATGTGTTGTTTGTTAGGAAATTGGTTAAGTGATTAGGGAAACATTGTCTTTTCTTACTGTAGAAATAGAAGCATGTGTACTTGGAAATGTCAAGAAAATGGTTAACAGTGTTTAGAAGCTTTTTTTGATAGTTGGCATATGTAGCCTATAACTAAACCTGGAGTGGAATTGGGATGGGGTTTACGGAGGTAAGGTACTAGCTCTAAGCATCTGTGAAATCCTGCTTCATTTGAAGTAGACAAAAATGAACTAAGTGATATGAATAAGGTTTTGCAACCACTGAGTTTATCAATTTTAAGTTTAGTGCTAAGAAAAATAAAATTAAACATTGAAAATTATATTTTTTAAAATGTTGGTTTATCTCATTTATTTTATTAGTATAAGGTAGAGGAAAGCTGGGCAAGTATCAGGGTGATAATTGTTTTATGGAACAAGGACTTTTAAAAAATAATATTAAATCTATTATGTGATGTTAAAATATTAGATTATCTAATAATCTATGCGTAGATTGAGGAGTAAGAGTATTTGTGTTCTCCAATTGGTGTTGATTTAATTTGCATCTCATAAAAAAAAATTGAGCATTTTAGTATAATATAATTTAATTTGTAGAGCCCAGAATAGATTTAGTATCTTTTCTAAGTACCTGATATGCAACTTTTAGGTTTTACTTGCCCCTGCCTTCCATCATCCAATTTGTCACATTCCCTATAATAAAGCTGATGAATTCATTTATTCATGTCTAAGTTGGGGTTGTAAGCCAGAGTAATGGTAGAAGGCAAGAGGAAGATCCCTGACCAGGGTCCTTTGATATGTAACCAACCATCTTTTGAAGCTGAACATTTGTTATGATAATTTTTTTTTTCTCCATCATGTCACTATATCAGTATTTAAAACTCTTTTCCTTGATTACGAAAGCAACACATGTATTATGAAGAGAAAAGGAACTATACCCATACTCTCACCATTCATGGATAACATACATAACCTTCTTTAGGTAAAAAACTTTGCTGGAATCTTTCCTCTTTTAAATGCTACCTTCTTTCAAACTATAATTTATTCTGAGTATAATGGATAAGAATGTAGTAGGATAAAATAACTAGGGGCTGAAGTGATTCTTCAAGAGAAGATGGAAAAGGAAAAGAATCCCTATGAAATTACTGACACACAGAACAAGAAGGGAAGAGTGAAACAAAAAAATCTGACCCTCATGAGTATGTCTATAGAAATGTAAAGTTATATAAATAAGTATTGTTATACGTTATGTATACTTTCACTTATTATTCATAAAATTTATTTTGATTTAGGTAGCTTTTTAGTTAGCTCACTGCATCCAAATGTAAAACAGCGTCTTCATGATAGAGGAGTGCCCAGTTAGTGTGCCAGTTTTACGTTTTCCAGCCCTTTATTCTCAGAATTTAAACAGTAGGATCTTTTCCTGAAACTTACCACATGTCTTCTACTTTTCACAGATGTGATTGGGGTAGAAATTCTTCCTGTTTATTTGAATAAGAACCCTTTGGTAAAATTCCTTTGATTCTGAGATAACTAGATGAAATGTGTTGCATAAATCATGTCACAGCAAACAGTTGTCACCTGGCACTAGAGCTTGATGAAATTTAAAAGTGTTGGCTCATTGCCTGTAGTGTTCAGTTACAGTTCTATAGACAGTCTGTTTGTACAGATGAAGCAGTTCTTGGTGTAATGTAAGATTCATCTCTCAAGTGATAGGGCGTGTGTGAGTTGATTCCAGAGATCTTTGCTCTGAGCTCCCAAGACATACTCAGAAGGGCTTTGTTTTAAATTCTCATTGCTCTCCCTTTGGCACACTTACAAGAAAATGAACAGATCTTAAATTTGGTGAAATTCTTAGCATTTAGTTCAGTGTCTGTTGCAATGCAGGATTGTTTTCAATACTATTCTTGGCAGATAATCAAATTTGAGTTTTAAGACGCCGTTTTTATCTGCAACTACTTATTCCCTCTCAGCTCTTGTCTTTACTTTCTTCTACTACCAAAATTTGTACATCCATCTTTACTTATTGGCAGTTTAGTCTAATACTTAGCCTTTTCTTACAGAATAATAAGATCTATTAAGCATATGTAGAAAAAGGGTAATGAACCCATGATCATTAACTATATAGTTATAGTTTCAGGAGGAAACTATAACTATTGGACTATATTCTTTACACTGTGCCAAACTTTTTCCTTAAAGCTACATTAGATTTTGCCGTTCCCAGACTTTAAAACCTTTGTCAACTATAGGAAAACATACAGACTTTTTGTGTCATAAAACCAGTGTATGTCTGCTTAAAAAAATACTTTGTTCCTATTTCCTACCCTCATTACTCTTCTACTCGACAGGTAAATTCTCATATTTCTGATCTGAATCCTTTTATTTGTATGTGTCCTTGTAAAACATGTAAATTTATTTCGTGTACAGACAAAAACTGAACTAGCATGTATTTTATATTTGCATTGCTTGTGTTATGTTCTAGACATTATTTATTTTGACCTCAGCACTGTTTTAAAGATCTGTCTATGTCATTGGGCATACATCTGGATTGCTACTCCTAACTGCTGCATAGTATTCTATAAAGAGCATTTGCTTCATTTTATTTTATTCTATGTATTGGAGACTTATATTACAAGGCCTTTTTTTTTTTTTATAACTTATCCTGTATTTCTAAGCTGTCTCTTGAAATTACACTTCATGCACCTTAAGTCCTAGCTGCATGAAACCCATCATTCCTGTATGAAAACAATGTACTTTTTCATATTGCCACACCTTTGCACATGCTGTTCCCTAGGATACTTCCAGTCTTCTAATGGCTACTTCCTCACGACTCAATTCAGATGTCATTTCCTTGATGAAGACTTAAGCAGCTATTTCATGCTTGAGCTAGTTGCTCTGTACTCTGCTCACACAGCACTTATTTTTATCTTGGTATTATAGAAGCCTACAATTCTACCTAACAGTCTATATTTCTGTCTAGATTCCTTGAAGACAGGGACCAGATAGATCTTAGGTATCTTTGTACGCTTTAGTTTTGTGAATTGCATATAGATGGCAATCAGTAAAACATTCATTGAATGAATGAACGTGTGGAGTTTCTTAAAGTGAAATAGTGACCATATAAGCAAAAATCATTCTCATAAGTAAGAAGAGGTTGGGACACAAATACAAATGTAGTATAAAACTGAGAGAATGGCATACAGGAAGCTGAATCCTAAAATGCATTGAGGCTTATAAGGATAGTAAGTACTGGAACATGTTATGTTCAGATCATGGAAGAAACATAATAAAAGAATAAATTACTGGTTGAGACAGATGTAATACTGGATAGTGGAGTGAAGGCAGAGTTATGGAACTTCTGGGTTTTTAATTTCTCTATCAAAAGAAAATGAGATTCAAGTTCAGTAAAGAAGACTAATGACAGTGGCAAGGGAATTGAAGTTAAGAAAGGCAAAGCAATGATGAGAAAACACTTTTTTGCTCTCAACTAGTTAATGTCCTAGGATTAAATGACTTGCAGATATGAATGGTTAGGTAATCTTTGAACCATTATGACCAGTAACAGAGATGCCAAAAGACTAAAGATCATGCAGATACTGTTTTTATTTTCAAAAAAGAGGAAAGGTAGAATTCTGCTATTATAAGATTAGTGGGTTTTATGTTTATCCTTGGGACAATTCTTTTTTTGTTGTTAAGGTAGAGTCTTGCTCTGTCGCCAGGCTGGTGTGCAGTGGCACCATCTCTGCTCACTGCAGCCTCTGCCTACTGGGTTCAAGTGGTTCTCCTCTTTTATCCCCTCAGGTAGCTGGGACTACAGGCGCCTGCCACCATGCCCGGATAATTTTTGTATTTTTAGTAGAGGTGGGGTTTCACCATGTTGGCCAGGATGGTCTCAATCTCTTGACTTTGTGATCTGCCTGCCTCAGCCTCGCAAAGTGCTGGGATTATAGGTGTTAGCCACCGTGGCTGGCCCTTTGAACAATTCATTAACTGATTAGACAGATATTTGAGAGGACTTAACTAGAAAAGGAGCAGTCTTCTAGGGACCACATGGGCTTACTAGGAGTGTGTCATCTTAAACATGTGATTTTTTTCCCCCATGTAGGTTGAGTAAATTGAATTTAGCAATGTTTCAGACAAAGTGTCTCATGATACGTTTATGAAATATTTAATAGATGGCCAAATTAGGATTTGGGTTATTGGGCCGGGTAAATTAGTGGATGATTGAAATAATTTGATGAATGAATTGATGTCAGCTTGGAGAAAGGTATTTCTGGTGACATGGCATGGTCGTTTTTTTCACTCTGTTCTATTAATCATTTTTATCACGGACTTGGATTAAACAGGCACATCACATTTGCATATCACATGCAAAAAGCTAATAGTTTGGATCAGGGAATTAGGGTTGAAAAAGCTTAGTCATCTGAAATGATTGGCTGAAACTAAGATGGTCTGTAATAATGATTAAAATTTTGCATATAGGTTTGTCAAATTATCAAACTAGCCATGAATCAAGTGGGTGTGTTTTAAAAGAAGTTCATATGAAGAGACCTGGGAAGTTGTGGTTTAACTGTCACTGCCATGCCCCACAGTGCCAGAGTTTGAATGTGTCTTCTCCAAAAGTGAGATGTGGAAGCTTAAGGGCCAATGTGATAACTATTAGAGCACAGGACCTTTAAGAGGTCATAAGGTCATGAGGGCTCCTTCCCTTGTGAATGGGAGTAAGACCCCTATAAAAGCAACTTTCACAGCCTTCGGGAGCTTCCTCTTCTGCCTTCTGCCATGTGAGGACACAGTTTTCCTCTACTATGGAGGATGCAGCCCTTATCAGACAACCAAACCTGGCAACACCTTGACTTCCAGCCAAGAATTGTAAGATACAAGTTTTTGTTCTTTGTAAATTACCCAGTCTCAGATATTGCTCTTTCAGCACTAACTAAAAACACAAGTGTAGACTGTTTTAATAGAAGTGAACTACTTGGAATGGGGAAGTGCAGTCTCTGTACTGATGAGAAGATAACATTGTATTCATTTATGGTTTCCAGGTTTTAAGAGGTATCTGGGAACTTTATCATAAAAAATATTTTGAAGAATCAGAATGGTTTTTTTAACATAACTTTTGTGTGTGTAATGTAGAGAAATTATTAGAATAATAACTATTTTCAAATATTTAAAGACTGAAAGAATTAACCTAGTTCCATATTTGCTTAGCTTTTAAATCATGTATATACTTGCAGGCTGAGAATTGTGCCAGGCATTGGGGATATAATAGTGACTAAAAACAGAAAAACTGACCTCCTTTTTACTCTTTATGGCACCGACAGTCGGATGGAAAAGGCAGACATTAACCAAGTAATTACATGAATAAATGTAAACTGCAACGATGGTAACTTCAAAGATGTAGAGGTGTATGGTGCTATGAGAAAGAGTATGTAGTAGGAGCATTTGATTTATTTAGTAAGGGAAGGGAAGGGAAGGGAAGGCTTGCCTGAAAGTAAGAAAGAATATACATTGACTAGGTGAAAAGGGGTCGAGAGGGATCTAGGGTGAGCAAACATGGTGCTTAAGAAAAACAAAAAGCCTGTCAATGATCACGTAATCTGCTCTAAACCTGAAAAGGTAGGAAAGGATGAGGTCACTCATCCTTTAAAGACCTTGGTAAGAAGTCTATTGCTTATCTAGAAACAGTGAACAACAGTTGCTGGTCTTACATAGAAGACTTCCTTATTTAAATTTGGGAAGATACGTCTAGCTGCAGTGTAGGGAATTGCCAAGAGAGGATTTGATAAACCACCTAAGGAAGAATTCCAGTTAGGTGGACAAGGGGTCATTGTGCTGCAAGAAATGGGACTTCTCAAGGAAAGTGGAATTTAGTCTTGCAGATCAGGTGGGAGACAATAAAGATATATTTAGGGGCAGGAGACTTGGATATCTCAGTTTTACAATTCATAGCTTAGTAGCTCTGTGTAAGTCACATTATTTATGTGCCCGTGATTTAATTGTGTCACATTTTTCTCATAGGTTTTGTCAAGATTAGATTTTATATATATGCGAATGGCATACAAACTGTGAATCGTTATATAAAATGAACGATTTGTGGGGAAAAATAATTGTCAACCATAGCCATTATTGAACAGGGTAGCCTAGTCATAGAATGGGATTTCTTCAGCGGTTCCTAGTCTTAGCTAGTTGGAATAGATGATTCTTTAAGATTTGTATTTTTGTAGTTTCAGATTTCCATATCTCTTCCCAGGTGCCTTGGAGCATTTATTAACAAGGACAGCCTAAATATTTATAGTAGGTCCATGCTTTTGGCTTTCTATTGGCAACGAAGTAGCTTGATGTGATTTGAAATCAGTTTTATACATGTTCTTTCCCTTATGTGTGATCTCAGATATAAGAGGCATTTCAGGAATCTTGTAGCAAAACCTAAAGAAAAGAATTAGAACTATTAAAAAATTCCCAGTATATCTTTTGGTAAGGTAGAACATACATATCTGAAGTTAGATTCAAGTACATAGAGATATACATGTATTTCTTCTCTTGAGTATTGCCTGTATGTATCTATTTATGCAAAGCTATGCAAATACAGATCCTGTGAGTAGAAATATACCTTCAGTTTTTGAAATGGTTTATTTTACAAACCAAGATAAAATAGAAATCAGGATAAAACACATTGTTTGGCTACTTTTTTGAGACAGGAAAGGAACGACATTCCTAAATCATAGCAAAGAGTTCGTATAGGTAACATTATTTATTCACATGTTTGTGCACACAAAATCCGCTCATATATTCATTTGAACAGCTGTTATATTTATATGTACTACTATAATCTGTATTTTTACTGAAATCATTTGTATATGTTACCACTAATCTCAAAAACCTATGCCCAAGTTACATGGGAATATACCCTTTTACAGTGAACTAAGGCAAAAGGCCAGGTTGTGTCTATCTTTTAAAAATCTAAATTTATGCCGTCTTTTGGGATAATGCCTTAAACATGTTATATATAATCTTTTGGAATTTTTGTTGCTTTATTGTTTATTAGACTTATTTAATTTTTTTTTTTTTTTTTTTTAGACAGAGTCTTGCTTTGTTGCCCAGGCTGAAGTGCAGTGGCACAATCTTGAATCACTGCAACCTCTGCCTCCTGGGTTCAAGTAATTCTCGTGCCTCGGCCTTCCAAGTAGCTGGGATTACGGGCATATGCCACTGTGCCTGGCTAATTTTTGTATTTTTAGTAGAGACAGGGTTTCACCCTGTTGGCCAGGCTGTTCTCAAACTCCTGGCCTTAAGTGATCCATCTGCCTTGGCCTTCCAAACTGCTGGGATTATAGGCATGAGCCACTGGGCTCAGCCACGTTTATTCAGTTCTAAGTAGGTATGACTTCTGCATGTGTCTTTTTATTTAGGACATTTCTATGCAGAAGAAATATTGTTCATTCTAGTTATTTAGTGATAAGTATTTATTTTCCTAATGAACTAGGAATAATAATTGCTGAAAACTAATTACACTTGGGGGTTGTTTATACTTGGAAGTTGCTTCTGGATCCATAGCTGAGTAGAAGACATGACAGGGTGTTAAATCAGATCTCCTCACAGACTTCCATTTATATTGATAATGACCGTAATAGATAGGCCTGCCAGTAGGCTAGGAACTTTACATGTGTTATTATTTAATCTTTCCAACAGTCCTATGGGATGTGGGTACTGTTATTCCAGTTTTGCAGATGAAGAAGCTAGGATTTAGTGAGGCTAAATAACTAGTAAATAGAGAGGACTATGTTCCATCCTAAGTTGCTTTTGATTCCAAGACTGCTATGCTATTTTGAAACAGCTGATTTGGTACAAAAGAACTTGGTTGAAATCATTTCAGTCTAATCTCCTGGAGCCATGCTACTTTCTATGGTACTATATTAAAAAAAGATAATACACAGATAACAGATACAAAGGTTGAAATCAGAAACCTATAGTATTCCCTGAGAAATAATGGATTTCTTGTTGCTTTTATAATATATTTTTAAATAGTGAATGCATACACACAGTAAAAAATAATTCATATAGCCAGAGCGTCTATAGAGTGCAAAGTATGCCTTCCTCCTATGCCAGCCTCCTGTTCCCCCACACAGAAGCAACCATTGTATCTAATTTCTGGTTATTCTTCCAAATATGACAGTAACATGAATTTATTTTTATTTTATTTTCTCAGGCTGGAGTGCTGTGGTGCAGTCATAGTTCACTGCAGTGTTAAAACTCTTCAGCTCAAGCAATCTTCCTGCCTCAGCCTCTGTATTAGCTGGGACTAGCAAGCATGCGCCACCAGGATCAGCTATTATTTTTATTATTTTATAGAACTGGTGTCTCCCTATGTTGCCCAAGCTTGTCTCGAACTCCTAGTGTCAAGGAATTCTCCTGCCTTGGCCTCCCAAAGCAGTAAGATTATTGTCACGAGCCACTGTGCCTGGCCATTAATTGGTTTTTTAAAAAAATGACATTTGAGTATCAATTCCAAAGAAAACTAGAAGAGCCAGATCGTGTACCAGATTGATATCTGAGTGGGCCAAGCTAGAGAAGGCTGGAGAAGGATGTAGATGACACACTTTCAGTGATGAGAGTGTCAGATAGGGTGTCAGCATTACCTACCATCCCCATAGGGTAACAGAAAGTCATCACAGCAGGTTTGCCTGGTTTTATAGATGAGAAAATTGGTTATTTAGGTCATGTGGATAGTTGCAGGTAGAGCAGAATTCATATGCAGAAATATGCTTTTCATTTTTCCAATTCCTTCTACAGCACAAGTGACTGTAGAAGAACAAGAACAAGAGTGTAATGAAGAACTGTACAATTTAAATTGTACAATTCCAAAATTGACTAAGGGTTTCTACTGGTAAGCCAAGCAGCAAACTTTTGAAAGCCAAAGTTAGTAGCAGATAGTAAAAATCATTTTTAATACTCTTTTTTAAATTTTAGAATACATTTAGATTTACAGAAAGCATATGAAGATATTAAACAGAGTTCCCATATACGCTACTTCCGTTTTCCCCTATTATTAATAAGTTTCTCCACTATGAAGTTATTCTTTGGAAGGAAGTCACTATATGCGGCCTACACTTAAGGAGTGGGAAATTATGTTCCCCCTTCGTGAGGGCTAAGAAAATTATTTGGAATGCTTCTGCACAAGAGATTTCTCTCTCCTTCTGTTTATTTTTTCCAGTCAAAATGTATTTGTTGTCTTTTTGGGACTTGCAGACTTGCTCAGTTGCCCAGGCTGGAGTGTAGTGGCACAATCATATCTCACTGCAGCCTAAACCTCCTGGGCTCAAGCAATCCTCCTACCTCAGCCTCCTGAGTAGCTGGGACTACAGGCACACCACCATGCCCAGCTAATATTTGTAATTTTTGTAGAGATGGGATTTCATCATGTTGCCTAGGCTTGTTTTAAACTCCTGACCTAAAGTGAACTTCTCGCTTCAGCTTCCCAAAGTTCTGGGATTACACGTATGAGTCACTCAGCCTCAGTCATTTACATATATGAATATGGCGCATGGGTTATATCATTTTTGGGTTATAATCCAGCACTATAGTTTTATTGCTCAAATTGTTCCAGCTCTGGCCATTGAGAGCTCTTTTAGTTGGCTCCTATATCTCTTTAACATACTTTAATCACTATGTTTTACTTTGGTTTTCTTTTTTGAGCACTTCCTTGCTTTTCTACACTACAAGATGCTCCAGATTTACTTCTTGTATTTCCTGCTTCACTCCTAGAATCAGCTGTTTTTCCTTGGAACTCTGATTCTTTTTACTGGAAAATACTATTGGAAACCAGGATCTGGGTGCCAGTTGTAATTGCAGCTCTTTTAAAACCAAATATTGAGCAGACAAGAAAGTTTTAGCCATTATCCCAGGTACTAAATTAAGTCATTGAAATACTTTATTTAATTTCACTGGAATGTAAAATTTGCCTGAGTGAATTGAATGGAATGATCCAAAGAATTTTTAAGGGAAAATTCTAAGAATTATTGTTACTGTTTTCTGCTACTTTTTTAGAAAAAATTCTGTTCTTGATATCGCTTGATTTGATTTTTGTGAATATCCTTTACCGGAAAACCTGAGACAGAACTTTAAAACATGATAATTTGAAGCAGGTTGGGATTAACTCTGGGATTTTGGAAAGACTTTGAACTCCATTAGGAAAATTAACAAGCATGTAGTCTGTGAAAGACATAATTCATATTTATGTAAAGAATAATACTTTATTCCGCAGTCACACATCTAAAATTTTTAAAAAGTTCTTTTTTAAAGAAAGAATAGTACTTTCTTTTGTATCACTAAGCATTTCAAATTTGTGTATCAAACAGAGGATTGGGGAGAATGTTTTGTTAAGGAAAGAGAAAGGCAAAAAAAATAGTAAAAAAGAGAAAAAAATGACCTTTGAGCATAGTTAAAATACATTTTAACTATTCTTCATGTTGTTTCAAAGGGAAATTTCCTGTTATAGAGCTCATCTTTCTGACACCATAATTGAGATTTTCTTAATCTGGGATATTTGCACATATATCAGACAACTCATTTTTATAGGTTTTAAAGGGATTTATTTGTATGTGTGTGATTGCAATCTTAGTAGTACTTGATGAAACTTGTTGAAAGTTTATATTTTAATTTTCTTTTTCTCTGCCTTGCCAGGCAAATACTTTTTTAGCATCTACCATTTCAATAAACAAGCTGAATTTTTACACCCATCAAGCAACCAGGTCAGTAGAATCATAGGATCTGATAGGTGAATGCATAAAGTATAAAAACTTTTCAAAGAATTTTCAAAGAATTAACCAAATGTTTTTATCCTGGGCTATGATGATCACTATTTGTCCTAAACTATTTTAATTTTCTGTGTCTTAGGTCATTATTATTATTATTATTATTATTTTCTTGAGACAGGGTCTCACTCAGTTGCCCAGGCTGGAGTGCAGTGGTGCGATAATAGCTCACTGCAGCCTCAGTAATTGTAGCTTCAATCTCTTGGTCTCAAACAGTCCTTCTGCCTCAGTGGCTGAGACTACACACATGCACTTCCACACCCGGCTAATTTTTTAATTTTTAGTAGAGACAAAGTCTTGGCCATGATGCCCAGGCTGTTCTTGAACTCCTGAGGCTCAGGTGATCTTTCTGCCTTGGCCTCCCAAATTGGTGGGATTACAGGCATGAGGCACGTACCTGGCCAATTTTCCATATCTTATTTCAACTGTAAAGACTAGTCTTTTAAATCAATGTGAATAGAAAAGTGTCAAATAAACTGATAATGTACAGTTGTAATTAGTGAGAAGCATAGCACCATGAGGAAAAGAACCAGGCAGATAAAAATTGAGGCAAGTGTAAATGAAACCATCTCTAATAAATAAGCAAACATCATCAGTGCATGGAAAAACTGCATGAGGCAGAGAAGCTCCAAGGAGCCTTAGGATGAAAATAGCTGGAAATCCTCAAGAGAGTTGGAGCTGAGTGTAGAGATGGGGAAATAATAAAACAAAGGTTCTGAGTAAAGGTTACTGGTGAGTCCTGAGGCTGGCAGAGGTTGCCAGGGAGAATGTGAGAAACAGCATGTTATTTGGGGTTCAGTTGCAATGTTGAAGCCTGTGCTTCAAGATCCTCAAAACAATGATCTTGGACATGGCAAGAAGGAAATTCAGTGTCTACAGTATGCTAGGTGTTGCTCTTCTATGTATTAATATTATATCATTTAATTCTTACCTCTATTCTATGAGGGAGGGTATTACTAGTCACAATTTGACAGATGAAGAAAATAAGGCACAGAGCGGGGAGAGAACGTGCTGCAAACTACATAGCAAATAATTGGGGTAAATGCAAACAAAGAACCTAATTTTTAATTTTGAAGATGAAGATAATAGACAAAACCAACTAGGTATAGCATAGGTGGAAATTCTTAGGGCCTAGCTCACCCATCAGTATTTCTGGGTTGAATTGGTTAGAAGAAAAGAGTTTAAAATTGTTGCATTTAGATTTAGGTAGTTAATTGCAATTTTAAAATATGGGTTATGGCAGGGTACAGTGGCTCACAACTGGAAACCCAGTGCTTTGGGAGGTCAAGGTAGAAAGATCATTTGAGGCTTAGGTGTTCGAAACCAGTCGGGGCAACATAGTGAGACTCCTTCCTTACAAAAAATTAAAGAATTGCCCAGACATGTTAGAATGTGTCTGTAGTTCTAGCTACTTGGGAGGCTGAAGCAGGAGGATCACTTGAGACCAGGAAGGAGTTTGAGGCTGCAATTCAAGCTATGATGGTATCACTGCAGTCTGGCCTAGGTGACAGAGTGAGACCCCCCTTTTTTTTTTAAAGAAGAGGAAATATATGGGTTATAATAAGTTGCTGTATCATGGGAGGGCCTCAGAATGGACAGGGAACTCATGGTTATAGCTGATGTAGCAAATGGATTTGGGGATACAAAAGTGGAGATGGAATCATTTGGTCCTTTTAATTACCACTTAACACTTTGAACAGGATCCTTTGTGAAGATCCCTACAAACTGCAGAGAATAATTTTTTACTCTCCTTTTTGTAAAAAGGATAATTTTTAAGAGATTACTCTTAGACTCTAGCAAAAGGATTTTTAGTATATTAGTCCATTTGTGAATGGGAAAAGAAAATAACTAAAACCACTGTGAATTGTAATAATGCAATATTATTTAATCATGTGTTTATGTTTACAGAGTAAATTTCAAGAGCAAATTAATTATACGTCTGTAGTTCTTGAAGTTAAGTAGGTTAAGTGAGGGAAAAGCATGATTTAATCTTGCTTTATTGCTGGCCAAATCTCTAGGCTGGTCATTTTTCCCTTCTAATAAAAATGCTTGTGATTCCTTGTCTTCCCATTAGCTCATAGTTGAGAGCTCTGTTTAGTTGTCTGTGAGACGGAGTATATTAGGCTTGCCTGATTAAAATTGTTCACGAGAGATCAAGCAGACAAGGGACTTTTAGCATAATTAAAAAAGCACTGCTAGCCTTTAAATATGAGATTTCAGAGACTTTTGAATTCATATCCACCTGTAGGGAAGTGTGTTTATCTAATTAGATTCTGATTCTCTTATGAATGCTTCATACTTAATTCATGCATGGTGTCCTTTCATTTTATAGAATATTATCCCTTCATGCAGGAGACATGAAAAATGCTTACTGGAACCAAATCTTGAATGAACTGAATTGTTTCCCTTGAAAGATTACAGTGTGATAAGTTAAGATATCAGTTACCTCCTTTTGTTAACCTGTGTGTTTATAAAAGGAGCAGGAGCAAATTTGAAAATACTAAAAACAAAAATCAAAACAAATTGTATATCCTGTGTTCTCACGTTAATCTGAGAAAATTATACCAGCTTTTGGGAAATAGTCTCCTTTTGTTTAAGGGAAATCTTAGTCCAAAGTTTTTATTTTTGTCTTCATTTTTCATTTCTCAACTTTTGCATTGCAGGGTTCTGAAATCATTCAGTTATTATTTCCATGTTACTATCATGTTTCAGAAAAAAATGATATACTTAATGGAGTTTAAAATTGCTTCTTTTGTCCTTCTGAAGTAAAGTCCACTGTTATAGACTGAGTATAGAACACTTCAGGTTTTTTTCTCTGGGTGTTTTTTAAAAGGCATTTTAATTCTTTGGAAAGGAATGCTTTTTAGCATAAATCAAAATGTTATTGCTATAATGAGGCAGCATGTTAGAAGAAAATTATCAAGATATGAATTTTTTAACCTTCATTTATAAGGCTTTAATTTCATAGACTAAGGGCTTTTGACTTGTGAACACTTCTTTAGAGAAGGCATTTTCCTCAACGAATAAGTAATGCTTTGTTTTTACCCAGAAGATTGCTTTAGAACATTTTTCATATAATTAAAATAATTTTTCCATTAGCTGGAATTGTTCTCAAAGCTTCTTGACTTTTTTTTAAGTTCCATTTTATTTTGCATTTAAAAAAAATTAGTTTTAGCTTGATTTTAACATAAAACAGCAATGCCCAGCAAGAACCCAAATTTTTTCCATATTAGGTCTATGCAAGAGAATAGATGGTAAAAGAAGCCCCTCAAGCCAAAGTGTAGCAGACGTTACCCCAATTTATTAAGATTGATTTTAGGAATCTAATAAAACATATTGATCAATCATAAAAATATTTTAATTGAAAATGATAAAGAATTGAGAAGGAAAGGAGCCTGAAATTTCAAATGGTGAGAATTGTGTGTATGTTTTTTTCTTTTTTTTGTGTGTCTCATTATCTGCAGGAGTAGTGCACTAAACAAGGTTATATCTTGAAATGGTAAAATCTGTGAATAGTTTTGTTTGTGGGAGGAGGTCACAGAAAGGTTATTCCTCTGGCTTTCTTTTTCTTGACAAGTAATCAGAGTCGTTCACAGATCTCCTGGTTTCCAGCCATTTTATAGTCTTGAGAATTAATTTTTGTATCAAATTATATATTACCTTTACTTTTGGTTAAATAAACTATTTTAATAGGATCACATAATCAAATAGGATAGAAAGTAATAGTTACTTCAATGAAGACTTCCTTTAGGATGAAATTATATAAATTAATAAGGTATAGTTACATATTATAATTATGGCAACTTGTATACCTCTGTCCTATGCAAGTACTGTTTCTTTTATATATTCCCATAAGAACCCCTTAATTTCAGACACTTGTTATTGTATCAATTTGCTTGTTTACTCATTCTCCTGTTCATCATCTGTCCATTCAGTCAATAATGATTTATTGAATGGTTCTTATACATCAGGCATTAGGCTTGGGCACTGGAGATACAGGGATGAGTAACTGTCTTGGAGGAGCTGTTTTTGTGGGAAGCAAACCTACAAATGAATAATACCAATATGAATAGAGTGGTGTACATGTAAAAGAAGGTACATCTAAATGTCACTGAAATGTCAAGACTTCATCAAAGGAAACAATATTTAAACTGATTCTGGAAAGATAAATTTTCATTCACTATACCAGAAATAAGGGCATACAGAAAAGTTAGAACAGCAAGTACAAATGCATTACATTTTTAAAGGACTTTGAAAGATCTTAGTATATCTAGAACACAGGAGCAATAATAGGAAATGAAGCTTGAAAAGTAGGTGGGAGGATCTATCCACCAAGTTGACAAGTTTGTGCTTTGCCTCTAAGGAATTATAAGGCAGAAAAGCCATCAAAGCTGGATGCATAACATGAAAAAATTTGTATTTTTTAAAAATAAATTGAGTGGGAATATAGGAGATATTTGGAGAAGGAAGAGTCTGTATGCAGTAATCATCAGATGGCCCCTACTTCAGTGAACTAGGAGCAATTTTATAAGATTGGATTATGAAGCCAGATGGGCTTGACTTCAGATCCTCAACCTGAAGATCCCCTTAACTTCACTCAGCCTGAGATATTTCATCTGTAAAGTGGGAGTAATAGCTATCTTGAAGTATTGTTAACTTCATGTGTTCAAGATGTTTTGCTTAAATATCTATGCCTATAATAAATTTTCAGTAAGTAGTGGCTATTACTATTATATATTGAACTCTTAACTGCTTAGAATTGCGTAATAAACCTGATGTGTGATGTTACCCTCCCTGTGGCCGTGTGTTCTCATTATTCAGCACCCACTTAGGAGTGAGAACATGCAGTGTTTGGTTTTCTGTTCTTGGGTCAGTTTGCTGAGAATGATCTACACACGTACTCCAAAACTTAAAGTATAATAATAACAACAAAAAAA